ACCAAAGTTTGATCTCTGCACTAAGAATATGACTTGTACCGTCAGCATTGTGGAAAAAACCCTGCGTCTACAAAATATCAGCATCTTGGGCATTGAAACACTCTGATTGATTTTACACAATATATTTTGTCAGAGCATTTTCACAATGATTTGGTTTGCATTCTGAATAAAATCTGCTCTGCAGGTGGAGGACAATGTAGTCTGCCGATTGTGTTAAAAAGGCAACATTGTAAGAAGTATTTTCCCACTAACACATCTGCCAAAAGAGAAACAGGCCATTATCCTGAAGGATGCCCAGTGCGCAAACCGCAGACACACAAATGTACAGTACAAGGCCCTCATTAAAGCGGCTCAGCAACATGTTACAGCGCTCATGTCTCTATTGCATATTTTCCAGGCTGTGCCACAGCTAATGTCTCTTCTGAATGTGGCATTTGCCACCATGGGGGTTGTTAACACTGTACTACCCGATGCTGGTGCGTCTTGCTTGTGTTGGCTGCAGGCTTATGGAGTGAAACTGCACATAAAGTTCACGGCTGAATAATTGATAGTGCGTTGGATGGGTCATGGGGTGGCAGCGAGGATGAGGAGGTGGAAGTGGAAGGCAAATGCCAGCAGATGATCACTACACTCACCTCAGCCTGTGAGGGCTTGTTAGCAGCTGGATCTGAATAGCTCTCTGCTACATGGAGATATCCAGATAATGAGATTTGGGTAATGAACCAGGGTTATATAATAGTCATATTCCATTGCCTAACTACAGAGGGTTTTTAATTTAGACTGGAGAAATAATGGTCTTCTTCTCAATTGCTGCAATAAGTAATTTTCAAAGGGAACTTTAACACTAACATTACATTGCAATTAGAGCGCTTACACACGAACTGGAAAAACATGAGCATAAAAAGGAATAAAAGCGTTGTCAATCATCTAAATAGGCTGCACTGAAAATGGAAGAAAGTATTGTTGGCACCACAATGACTTTTTTATTTTTTTCTTCTTAGATAACAAGCTGTTAACCTTTAGTTATAACATTCCTCAAAGGATTCATCAGTATCAAATGATGTTGGCAGATGTATCTCCAAACACATTAAAGGTTCATTTTAGAGAAGGACACAAGTGAAAACCAGCTGAATGATCATTCAGTTTTAACTATAGAGGCTTAAAGGCCATTGTGTGTGAATGGATGTGTGTACATGTCGATGTGTCAGAGTGTGTGTATGTGTTTGTGTGCATGGTCGCATGTCATTGTGTGTCAGAGATACTGTAGGGACTGTGTCGGATGTGAACAGAGGGTTCAAAAAGGTGCGCAGGGAGTCCAGTCACTCTCTTATCTACGCTAACTACATCACTGCTCCCACTCTTGAAATGAAAGCAAATAAAATCAGCTATGATTGATACCGCCTACCCCATTTTTTTGCTGATTTCTCAAAGCAGCTTCTGTAGCATTTTATAGACTTGGCCGTGGAGGCGAGGTAGAAATGAAATGGTCTATGGATTAGCAGAAGTGGTTACAGAGCAGAGTTACACACTGGAAGCGTGAGTAGCCACTGTGACGTCACTGGTTGGTTTGCGGACAACCGCTCTGAAGCTTTGAGTTTGGCGTTATGGGGATCGCCATGTTGCTTTTTTGGTAGCCAGTAGTGACTGTATTTGGATGAGAGGGTGGAGCTGGGGGAGGAGCGAGGGATGGATCTGACTGAGAACCCAAGGACAAGCAGCGGTAGCGACTTGGCAAATCACAAAGTAACGACGCCCCTAAAGCACACACTGCTTTATTGTCTATTTTACTCTAAATGGGACCATAACTTACAAAATGAACATCACGCTGTATTTGAGAAGACATAAAACCACTTTGATTGAGACCACCATAAACTCATTTGGAAAAGGTTTACTGAGTTAATAAATCAAGTGAGATGAAGGCTAATTTTCTCATAGAAATATATTAGGTCCCCCCCTTTGCCAGCCATTAGAAGTATTTAACACAGACTGCCTGGAAGCTATGTCCACTTCTTTATTCAAATCATAGTGCTAGCCCAGTAAGCATTGATTTAAAGGACCAGTGTGTAGGATGGAGTGACAAGATCTAAAGACATTCCCATCAGCTTCAGCTGTACCTTGGGTTTAGTGATAATTAGCATTAGCATGCTGAAGTGCTAAACTAAGATAGTGAATGTCAGCATTAACATTGTCACTGTGAGCGTATTAGCATGGCTGACATTAGCATTTATTTTCAAAGCACCGCTGTTCCTGAGTGCATCCTCACAGAACTGCTAGCATGGCTGTAGACTCTTAATGTTGCTCTACTTTTTCTGCACTACCGCCGCTGCTGCTACATAGCGCCCGATGCCTTCTGCATTTGTTCTTCCTATGACCTGCATTTAACTCTGACCATATCCAACTCTACATAAAGGTTTTGTTTTATTCATTACATATTACATCATGGCTTAATGTAGTTTGATGTTTAACCTCATTGCTGCATTCATATCACAGTTATATATCCCTACTTACTACTACCCCACTGGTTCATTGGACACATTGATTCATCTTTATATAAAATATATATCTATATGCACTTGCTTGCACTGATCTAATTACATGCTAAACAGCATTGTGTTGTTCTGTGCTCAATGGCTACGATGCATTCGTTCAATCGGATCTACTACCACTACAAACAAGTCAATGAATCAATTTGTCAATATTTAGATATTCATTTAATTTATCAGCAACTTTAAAAGGTTTCTCCACACATCTTCCAGTAATATGCAGCTGAATCAGGTGCTCCTCAGCTCGAGGACAGCAAACTTCCAAAGGGAAAAAAGGAACTGGAACACACTGATTGATCTGCAGACTTTAATAGTACAAACACCTCAACGCTACTGTGTGTTCACAGAAAAACCACATACAATAGCGTATAATTGGATAATTGGTTGAAGAGAATTTAAAATCTATTGAGTAATCAATGCACGGCAAGTGCCACCCCCCTCCATGCAGTATAATCAAATCAGAAACAAAAAAACACAGATGTATGTTAGAGTTACAATGGAGTACAAGAAGTACTACATTCATCAAGTGTAATCAATTAGAGGAAATATGACAAATTTAGTTCTTCATTAAGGCCAAAGGGCTCCAATCCAATATGGAGGAGTGAGTTGATATGTGACCACAGTAGAAATGGTGGTTTGTTTGCACTATTAAAGGCTGCAAATCAATCAGTGTACTCCAGTCTCTTTTTCTTTTCCTTTGGAAGTTTTTCTTGATGACTGATTTGAGTCGATTCATTGTTTGAGTTCATTTACAAGCAAAATAATTAACCAACATTATCATATTTGAGCTTCTAAACTTTGAGTACTTGTAGCTTTTCTTTGTCTTATATGTAAACAGAATATTTAAAAACTGTTGGTCCAGCAATTTAGGATATTGTGATAGCAGCTTTTTTCGTTATTTCCTGACATTTAATAGACTAAACAATTAAGCTGATAGAAAAAGGAATGAGCAGAGGATTTAATTATGAAAATGTTAACCAGCTGCCAATCGAAAATGTAGCCAGTGAAATGCAACCTGTGTAGCCATACTTAAATATTATTGTTAAGCAACTTTTAGTGGAATCAAATTGTGACAATATATGATCACATTGTTGGATATTAATTGAAAACTAATCAAATATTTTTTTGCTTTTCTTGTGTGAAGTTGACTGTCATAGTTATCCTAATATTAATCAATATCAGAAAATTCTTCATCACTGATGTTGTGATATCGATTTTAACCGTTTCGCACAGCCCAAATATTTACTTGGAGAAAACAAAGCTGACTCCCTGCATATTCTTTTTTTTTTAAGTTGGCCTTTAACCCAGCTACTGTCAATATTTACCCACTTGTGCTGATTCATTGATCAGAAATTGATTATGGATGCTCTAGCCCACAGTGTCACCCAGCAGCTGCAGCAAGTGGTGGGAGTAAGGAGCCAAAATGCAAAGAAAAATGTGACAAAATTAGGTTGTGTGGGACTGTTGTGGGATGGATGTACTGTTTAAGTTAAGCTAAGCGTGTAACTCATTAGAAAATCTTTGAGGAGAATTTTGCCCAGAGCCCCCTCCCAACCATTCATCCCTCTCTCTCTCTCTCTCTCTCTCTCTCTCTCTCTCTATCAGCATACATTTCAGATTGGCTCACTCTCTCCTCTCTCTCCCTCTCTCACTCACACTCAGCCAGTCGGTGCTGCAGTGGATCAGACGCAGAGCTCTGGCGCGCCTGCTTTTCCGCGGCAAATCGTTTCATCTGCTGGAATACGGCTGCGTTATAGGTGGGGGGGTTGGTGGGAGAGATGTAGCCTGCTTATTTCCGCTGCTTCAGCTCTTAGTTCACACTCCACTCGTTTTTTTTTTTTTACCCGCAGCTCCCAATCCACAATCATTTGACCCGTTTGACGTGTTCTCCGCGGACTCCGGCGTCTGATCTGATTCGCGCGTCCTTTTTTTTCCTGTGCGTAAAAGTCGTGAGTAAGAGACGCGCGGTCCAATGTTTATGATTGATTGCGAGCAAAAAAATAGCGACGCGTTAGTTTAGCTGGTGTGGAATTGCATAGAAACGAGTTGGACTGCAGGATGGAGGTTCGTTTGAAACTTGACTGATGAGCATCTCGAGGCGAGCGGCACCGTGTCCTCACATGATCGCTGCGAGCTCTGCGAAGTAAAAGGCTGAACTGTGCTTGACTTTGTCCCGAAAATATCCAGCATGCCATCTATAATTAACCATGCATTATGCTAAATTATACGCTGTCTAAATTATTTACTCCTTTCGCTAAACACTTGCAATTAAAAAGTAAAACAGTTTGGTGACAGGATACCTGTAAAAGCTCAACATAAAATCCAAAACCCGCTCAAAAGGACACGTGTTGACTTCACTTAAATATTTAGTTGCAGAATTCACACGTAAAAATAACAACCTTTGCCCGGCTCGATTCCACTGCAGCACCGAGGCCACCTTGCTTCGGTTCAGCTCACCTTGAACCATGCTGGTCATTTGCAGAAGTCCTCCGCGGGCAACTCGCGCAGCCCGCGGGCATGCGATGTTCCTCCGTTCAACTCTCATCGTCCTTCTCCTCCTCTGGCCACGGCCGTCCGCAGGCAAGAAGAAGCTGTACATCGGAGCGTTGTTCCCCATGAGCGGAGGCTGGCCGGGCGGACAGGCGTGTATGCCCTCCGCTCAGATGGCCCTGGACCTGGTGAACAACAGGAGCGACATCCTGCCTGACTACGAACTGGAGCTCATCCACTACGACAGCATGGTGAGTGCATGTGGAGGAGAGTCAGAGGAGGTGCGCACTTAAGTGATGTGTGGTGTCAGTCAGTGAGGGATCTACTGATCTGCCTCTCAAATTATCACGAGGAGTAACTGACCCCGTTGTGTCGTTTTAAGTGTGCTGAACAGCCTATGTCATCACTGCTGTGTTACATTTGTATGTTTCCTCTTGCAATCAACCAATGTTTTCTGACTTTATGGAGCTTATTTTATTTTCCACTCTGGTTTTCTCAAGAGTCATGGCAGGTATATGTGACATTATTATACATTTTACTTCGCCATAACAACAGTACAGGCTGCCTTTTTAAGAACACCCTGCCTTTTCCCCAAGTCACAGATCTCAAGCTTTCACCAAAGGTCACCCTGCTGATAACCAATTCTCAAGTCCTCACTCTGCCTAACAAAGGGTGCTGCCATGCCCTGTACAGAGCTGGTTTGTCGTAAAATGAACAAACACACCTCCTGCTTGTTGCTCATCAATCATTAATCATGGTGGTATTTTAAAATGTCAGCATTATCAACCACTATAAATCCAATATCCGCCCCCCGACCGCTTTCATTTCCCCTCGCTGCCCCAGTTTACCACCCACTACCCTGACAGACTTTAATCAAAGAGCACATTATTTATTTTTGTAAAAACTGTTCTATTTGGGCCTTGTTGCTACATGCCCTAATTGCTATTCTGAAAGTTTTTCCCCAAAAGGAACCTTTTATTTAACTCAACAATGGGATGAGTGGAGACAAATGAAAACAATTACTGATATCCCCTCTGTCTCCCCTCCCGAGGGTTATTATCAATCATGCTGCAGGACAGATGCCTGGAGAGTGGCGGTGGCACCAAACAGTTAACTGTACTGGGACTGGTTAGAAATTTGCTACGAGCTTTATTCTGATTGGTGTACACGGCTCTGCATTGGAATCCTGTTAAACAGAATAGCAGGGAGAGAGAGAGCGTGTGTGTGTGTGTGTGTGTGTGTGTGTGTGTGTGTGTGTGTTTGTGTGTGTGTGAGAGAGAGAGATAGAGCGAGAGAGGGAGAGTTGGCATGGCAACACAGTTACTCTTGAAGCAAACCACAGAAACAAATAAGGTTTCAGCTCTGTGAAAATATGTGTGCAAATTCATATGCTGCTGGATGTATGCAGAGCTGATAGTACAGTGCATGCTTATTCGCATTCTGTTATGCATACACCTTGTTCTTTGCAATCCAATGCTAAACAGATCCATTGTGTGTGTGTGTGTGTGTGTGTGTGTGTATCCTCTGATTACAAGTGTAGTGAAGCAGGCAGCTGCAGATGTAGCTGCCATAAACATAAAGATAAAGCAATTGCATGAACAGATTTCATAGGGATTGGAAAACATCACTCCTCGTGCTTCAGGAGTCGCTGGTGCCTCGGGCTCAAGAAATAGATGCAGATCCTTTGAATAGAACAGCTCAAAGAGGCTGGTATAACATTGTCTGAGTGATGCTGGTTAATTCCTTGAATTAAGTCAAGGGGGGATTTTATTGCTCCTGCTCTGGGTACAGTGTGTTTGGAATTAGTTTTTTTTTTTTAACCTTCTGATTGCAAACATTTTTTACCTGGCTGGAATAGTAATGAGGATCTTACCCTCAGAAAGGCAGAAAAAGCAATTATAAGAAAGGGATTAATTAGCTATCATATTTACATCCATTTATTACATCCTCATTCTCGTTTGGTCAGAGAACAAATCTCCAGCTTGTGAACTCTTTGTTTAACTGAGAGATTAAGACAAGGGGTGTAACTGGCCCTTTGTTTGCTTGGATCTCAAGATCAAGGCTGGAGAAGCATAATTATGCATCAGACTCTCTTCACCTGAATTTATCGTGATGAGGAACTTTTATTGCGTCTTTAAAGTCTAACAGCGGTACTGAAAACAAGACGTGCATTAAAGTTGGCAAACAGGTGCCTAAACACACACACACGCACACACACATACACCAGTCTGTGACCATTAAGGTTTGGAGTATCAAGCGATGTCCTCAGCTTGTTCAACATCATACAATATTCATGAAGCTCAACACTTAATCCCAGCCTGTCCTTTTAATGGATGCAGATACCCTGTGGTAGCAGAACGGCTTGTTTCTCTGGCTATTCTGGCGACAGCATCAGACTATTTACAGCCTTCTGAGATCTACACACACATGGACAGACGCGTACACACAGAAACACACACGCTACGTGCAGACACACACTCTCCGCGCAGGCCGTTGCCATGGATATATCAAAGCCGAGACTGCAAACTTTGATCAATTATTAACAGTGATGGAGTGAGACAGTGGAGATACAGAGAAATGGTGAAACAAGGTGCTTCCCTCACTTCCGCCCTTTATTTTAATTGGCAGCCATGACACAATTTCTCATCCACTGTGGCATAACCAGTATTCATCACTGGTCCTCATGCATGTCCACTGGCATACAAGCCCGGAGTGGGGTGCCAGACGTAATTATGAGGAAATTAGGAGATGTAGCTGAGCGTGCTTTGAGATTCGATATATAGGCTGTCCCCAGGCCCTTATCTTATCCCCTCTTCGCTCTGTTTTTATATTATTCAATCTGGAGTGTAATTAGAGAGTGTATTATGACGAGCCAGTATCTTCTTCCAGTCTTCCCAGCCCCGAGAACCTCCATTTTCTTTCATAGGTTCTCGCAAGCTGAATTTGACTGATTGGAAAGGCAACATGGGCATGTTAACGGCGACACTGATATTGGCTCAGGGAATTTCAGCACAGAGGACAGCGACAGAGGTGTTATACTGTGTCATATATGTGTGGCTGTACGAGTGCGTTTTTATGGCTGCGTAAACACACAATCTGTGAGTGTGTCTGTTGGTAAATGTGTGTATATGTGAATGGCATTGGGGGCCGTCAACCCAGGCTCTCTCATGAGCCAAGGAGGGCTAGAAATGAAAGTGGAAATGGTGATGACCCCAGAGGGTTGTAGAAGACAGACCTCCAAGAATAGCAAAGATTCCTCAGCCTTTATTGCATACCTGCCAACACCCCTGTTTTCTCTCACTATTTTTTTTTCATAAGGGACACTGTGTGCTTTTTTCACCTCTTAATGCGCCGTGTTCGCATTTTGTTACCATGGGTTTCATTTCTTACGCTCACAGAAACACTTGAATGAAAGTAAGTTTCAACTATGGAGGCTGATGCTGTTTTGCACCTGCATTCAATAGACCCCCTTCATTATACACCTGAAGTAACTGTAAGAGGTAAAACAAATGAATGTATTCAAGCTGAGTTCAAGCTGTTGCTTCTGCTCCTCTATTTGCTAAATTTAAGTCTTTATTTGAGATTACATATAATCTTGTAAACTGAGGGAAATGTTGACGTCTTACATTCAAAGATATAGGGGAGACTTATTTTATATGTGTTGAGTGTGGGGTTTAAAAGCTTTTTAAGTGTCTCACTGGAGATTGCCATTGATTTCCCACCCAATTCAAGCTGTATAACTCACTAATGCATTTTATTATATTTTACCAGAAAACATTCAGTTATAATTCTTCTTTTTTTAAAGTGAAGATGTCAATACTTAAATAACCTCTACAAGGTCAGAATCTGTACTTTCTGATTTAATTCTAATTCCCACACACGCAATATGTAAGATGTATGGAAACAACCTATCATTATAAGCTGTGATGTTTGATGGTAATCATACATTGATTAAATAATTAATTAATCAGCGTAGGCACTGAATTACTGCTCATCAGAGTATAGTTAAAACACTGTTAACACCAGAAAGCTAACAAGCTTCTTCTCAGCATGCCACCAGCCCACAGCCACAGTGACAGAGAACACAAACAACCTTCGGGAAAGAGAGTATTTAGAAAGGTCTGTGTGTCAATCTGCATCTCCATCAAACGGCGATAACACAGCAGTTTGTTGTATGAGGACTAAGCAACCGTGTGCTTTGGATGCACAACAGGCTGCAGGTTTGAATCCAGCCCAACTGCAGCAGCTGATTTTACACCAGGAACACCAGAGAGGAGGAAGTGATCTGTGAAATCAGCTGGTGCAGAGAATGATTGGAAGAAAAACCTGCAGCCTCTCGGCCCTGCATTGCACAAGGTTGCCTATACGACATCAATATTGTGAAGCTGCTTTCTCGGTCAATATTAATGATATTAACCCAGTGAATTGAAATTGGTCAGCAGTGCATGGAGTGCTCATTGAGTAATTTTACAGGCATGCACTTAATTATTTTAAGTAGTCAGCTTAGGACAGTATTTTAATGTCAACAAGTAATGGGATTCCTGTCCAGATTTGTTTTGTAGTTGGTCAGTGAGTTCAAATCCATAAAAGCCAGCTATTCTTGTACTTTCTATGCTGCAGGTTTTGGTGATCAAGCCACCCTGCTCTTTGTGGTGGTGTATTAAATTAAAACAAATTACCTATCTTTGATCTCTGGACCCTTGCGTTGAATTTGGACACAGTTTTCAAGGACTTATTACATTGTTGGACTGCCAGACAGCTTTGAAGGTAGAGAGATAACATATTTCTATGGTTTCAGTTGTATAATCTGCTGTAAGTGTACCTGGAGAATTTTTTTGAAGAGACTTTTTGAAAATTATCACAAGGCGAGACTTTAATCTATTGATATGTATACTGTTACATACTAATAATTAGTGCTGGATGGTACGACCATTGTTTTGTTGTTGTTTTTTTGTCTTTATATAGGTTTATATTCTTTATATTGAGAGTAGAAAGTAGTACTAGTAGAGAAAGTACATAGAATTGTTTTAATGTTCTTGGCCCCACAACATGATACAATATATGAAGAATTCCGAATGTGAACAATTTTTATTTTTC